TCTTCATTTAACAAAATGCCCTAACGGGCTTACAGCTTTCCAAGTTAAACTTGGTACAACAATCAGTTCTAACTCGTTTACACATTAAGCCCTTGGCTTGAAATTACATGTTAATACATTCAAAAGTAAAACGACAAAACGTATGCCCGCACTAGCCTCCCACTTATGTCCTCGGAGGTGGCATGCTTCCCTGGTACCTGAAAATGATATTCCCATATAGGGTGAGCCACAGCCAGCAGAAATACACTAAACCAACCATTGACAATGGACTAAACATTAGCAATGATAGTTGGTCAACACTGTTTACAATTCAACATAAATTATATATTTATGTCAACGACTGACAAGTCCCAATACTTTTCATTTCCCTTTTCAACAGATTAAGCATGCTAAGCTTCTATCATTCATTTCCACAGACATGTATTAAAACTATATCTCACATTCAGATAAGCGTAAAAGCTATATCCACATTCTCAACAGATATAGTATAACAACAATATCACAGATAACACAAGCTGTATCCCACTTTCACACAACAGATATGTATATCAACAATATCCACAGATAAGCATACAAGCTGTAACCACACTCATACTTCACAAAGGATAAAGCATAGAGCTCTATCTTCACTTCTCTAGACAGCATATGAGCTCTGTCTACGGAGTACATATCCCCTATCTCCTCCAAATACCTATCCGGTTTAGAGGTCACATCCCCTATCTTCCCTAAACCGCGGAGTACATCCCTATCTCCTCCTCTACACACAACGTATATAAACACATTGGTTCATATACAATCACACAATTACAAACAATTAATGTATTCTAGCAAACTGTCAAGTTCATAACACATTCCATTGATAGTTTCAATTGCCTAATCAACCATACATTGTCTACAACAATCACGACTATCCTCCACCGATAGCCCAAAGCAGTTATTTCTAAAACAGAAAATAAATGCACAAATGGATATTCAATCAACATTTCATTTCCTTCATTTCTTCATCAATTAATTATCCAATTAATTAAACAATGTAATTAGGCCATTTCCATAATTACCATTTCAACCCTTTAGGTCCCATTTTCATCAATGATTCAACAATCATTCATTTTTCTATGCCAAACATGCATCTAGTTTATTATGAATAAAACCCCAACCTTTGTAAAATTACACAAAAGCCCCAAAACCTTTAACAAGATTACCAAACCAAGCTCCAAAATCTCAAAATACAAAATTTAAAGACCAAACCCATAGAGAGGAGTAGGATCCCTACCTCAAATTCGGAGCCCCAAAGGAGAGAACGACCAAAACCCAAAAGTCTCCAAACCTTCAAAATTTTCAGATCAAAAAAAGCTCTCGACGATCAACACAACTTTGTGAAGGCCAAAGGTGAGAAATCACCTACTAGATCAAAACCTAGAAGAGAAGGTAGTATCTAGAGTGAGAGGCTAAACAATGGTTGTTTGGAAAAGTAAGAGAGAGAAAGAGAAAGCGAAAAAGTATTTGGAAAAAGTCACAAACTCGGTCTTTAAACCAGGTCTACGCCTCGAGCGTAAACACCCCGCTCGAGCGCTCACTCACACTTACGCTCGAGCGGCCACCTCCGCCGAGCGCAGAATGCACTCGCTCAGACTTGGTGCAGAACAGACCTACGCTCAGCTTCCAACCCCTAACGCTCAACTCCAACCAACACTGACAACAAGAATACTGGATGGGTAATTTACCGCTCGAGGCCAACAACCCCGCTCGAGCGTACAGGCCAAAATCTGGGCAACTAGTTTTGGTTTCTAAACTGAACCAACCTGTAACAAACCTGCCAACACATCCTATAACTCAAATACAACGTAAAAAGGATGTAAACAAGGATAATAAACAACACCAACATCCAGGACACAGTGTCCGGATCACTTACAAACAAGGGGTAAACCCGGGATCGCTATATCACCACTCTCACCACCTCTCAAAGCTGGGCCAAGTAGACTATCTAAGCTCACTTCGGCCCTTCGCGAGCATCCCCGGTGGCAAAACACTACCAACCCGGTTCCCCCAAGAAATGGAACCACTCCCCGCTCAAGGACTAACGTGTTCTGAATCCTTCCTTAATAACTAGGTGTCACTCCTAGCTTCCAGTAAGGCCTCTTCAGACCGGTAGCAATCAATTTAACACCCGAGTATGACGATAGCCAGTCCATATCCCAAAATAACATCAAACCCTTCATTGGGCTGACAACAAATGGAAAAAGGAGACCTATAGTCGGCGACCTCATATATCACATCCACCTAACACCCTGTTCAGGATCAACTCACCACCCAAAAGGCGTATAGCCACACAAAGGAGATGCTAACTTTGCTAACTCCAAGTTCCATAAACAATGCAAAAAATGCAGCCGATACAAAAAGAATGAGATGCTACCCCGTGTCTCATCAACACATTAGCAACCGAGTTGCAAAACAGAAAAGTACCTCTCACTTACTGATTGGAGCTGGTACTAAATCCTGGCTTGGTGACGATAGGAGTAGACAGCATACACGCGCCCCGTAGGCCCCTGGTCACCTGCTCACCTCTCGGAGAAAGACTGACTGCACAGACTGGATGACGAAGCTCCCGATGGCCCTCGAGGCCGCACAGACTTGAGCTGGCTGAAAAATCCTGCGGTCTGCCTAAGAACCAGACGCTCCTCGAAGTGGCACCCAACTGTGGGCAAAACCTTCTTCATGTGCCCAGGTTGTCCACACTTCGATAACAAGTCAAGAGAGCTGCCCCCTGCCCAAACTCTGACTCGGCGTCTAGCTGAAGAAGAAGCACTTTCTGACCCCCCACCCTTCTGCGGCCAAACCGAAACTTGTTGACCCCAGCTGGCCACACTTGTAAACAAGTGTAATCTCCCTGACTGCACTTCTCCCCAAGCCTTACACTGGCCACTGGAAAGGATTTGATCTAGAGACTATGCACCCTGAGACTTGCTGAGGGTTATTACCCTTCTGTCTACCTTGCCTCACTTCTGACTATCCTGGCTCCTCTTGATCCTCGTCTTGACCCTCATCCTCCTCCGTGCCATCATAAAGGCTCATTATGAGCTGAGGCATCCACTACGGTGTCTATAGTCTCGAATTATTAAGACCCACAACTCTCAACTTGAGGCCCCGCCCAACTTCGCTCAAACTCATTAGCAACGGCCGTTCCTCAGACGCCACCAGTCAGGTGCAAACCTAGACAAGACTGGTAAAGTAGCCTCAAACTCGGCCACTGACCAGCCCTGTGTTAAGCCGACCGAAAACTGATCCTCCAGCTTCTCCCTAGCTGCTAGCTGATAAAAACCTCTTCCTGAAAAGCATTCACAAACGCCTCCCAAGTACCACCAACACGAGCTTTTCGTACTTCCACCATTGACCCGCACCTCTCCTCAGTTGGAAGGATGCCAGGTCACTTTCAGGTGCTCCGTCCTCGATGCCAAGCCATCTCAAACGTCTTCGTTTGTCTGTTTCGTAGCCATTCATCTGCCTTAACGGCGGTACTTTAGGATCCCGAGTGAGTAACTCGTCATTACACCGAAAAGAACTCCCTCTTCAAGAAGAAGCTCCTGTCTCAGCTGCCTGATCCCAGCTCTAAGAACTACCCAAAAGTTCCCGCTATCTCTCTGGCCAAGCACCCCATAGCCTGCTGACCCACTGGCTCTGGCCACATAACAACTTGGCCTGCCGCAACTCCCTCCTGCACTGCCGGAATCTCACCCTAACGGTGGTTCCTGCCTTGCAGTCTACCACGCCTAGCACCTCTTACCTCGTCCTGACATCCTAATAAAGGTAACCACAGAACGTTAGGCACATCATAGGTGTGCCGAAACTAAACACTGCACGTCCTAATTGCGTGGACCAACTGTAAATTCACTCCACCATAAGCACATAAACACAAACCACTTACGAAATTTGCACTTTCCGGATAAATGATAGTTCCCAGAGGCGTTACTAGGAGTTCCGGTATAAGAAAATTAGCATGAATCAAGTTGCTTTTCCAACAATAGACTCCCAGAAACTCAAGGATCCAATCAACATCCTAGAAATATAAATCATACCCACATACACATAAGCATTGTTAGCATTTAAGCACAATAGCATATGATTACTACATCTAAGTCTCTATCAAGCGTTTGACAACACCCATTGTTGATCCTAATCACTTCCCACGTACCCAAAGATTCGAACCCGTACGCCTCTGATTTACCCAAAGTGTAACGCCCTGCAAAATAATAATCAATTAACCCAATCAGATTAAGACATGTATTACATATACAACAACCACATTCTTCATTCATTAGGAAGTTCCATTACATAAGTATACATGTAACCTCATTAAACATAAATGCCCCTACGGGCTTAAAACAGCTTTGCCAAGTTAAACAACTTGGTACAACAAAGCAGTTCTAACTCGTTTACACAATTAACAGCCTGGCCTTTGAGTGAACATTTTACATGTACAATACAATCAAAAGTATAAAAACGACAAAACTATGCCCGCCACTAGCCTCCCAGCTATGTCCTTGGAGGTGGCATTTGCTTCCCTTTACCTGAAAATGATATTCCCATATAGGGTGAGCCACAGCCCAGTAGAACATTACACTTAAAACCAACCATGGACAATATGGCTAAAACATTAGCCCCAATTTGATATTGGTCAAACACTATTACAATCACAATAAATTATGTATAATTTATGTTTCAACGACTTACAAGTGCCCAATTACTTTTCATTTTCCCTTCTTCAATAGATAAGCATTGCTAGCTCTTATCAAATCTCATTCCACAGATATGTATAAAAACTATATCTCACATTCTCAACAGATATGTATATAACAATATTCACAATAAGCATACAAGCTGTATCCACATTGTACAACAGATATGCTATAGAAACATATTGTCCCAAAAAAAAAAAGCAAAAACTAAAAACATGTTTAATATACATATGTTTTCCAAACAAATACTAACAAAAATAAGAAAACATGTTTGGTGAGTTGCAGGAAAGGTGAAGTAGTCGCCGGGAAGGGAAAGGGTGGCTAAAAGGGGTGAGGGAGTGGCTGGAGGGGGGATGGAGGAATAGTGTTTTCAAAGGCTCAAGGAACCCCCAAGGCACCAAAGGTTTCTTGGGGACTAGTCGCAAGGTGAGGTGCTTGCTTCACTTAAGCAAAAGACACTTTTTCAGTAAAAAAATCAATAAATTAGCATAGACTAATAATTCAAACTTCAACATAAGAAAAATGACAGAATTCGCAACTTACAAGCACTAAGACAAAGAATATCAAGACAAATTATAGAAAAAAAAAGAGAAAAGAAATCCAAAATGATAGAAACAAATCAGGGAGGAGAAGAGGAAAAAAACCGATAGACTTGAGCCTAGAGTATAGGGGGCCAATTGAAGTAGAGAAGAAGAGGAGAAGGAAGAAGCGCCTAACTTCGAGCACAAATTAGGGTACCTAGAAACTGAATGGTTGGAATGTAGATACCAAAGGGCTGAGGAGGAATGACTGGAGAGTTTCATTGATCCTTTATTCAATGAAGACTTGGGGCTTTTTTTGTTTGAGGATTTGATCAAAGAAATTGAGGCTCATTACAATTATGTATATATATATACATATTTTAATTGGGCGTTTTAATCCCATGTGGCGTTTTAATCAAAGTATTTTCATTGAAAATTTTGTTGTTTTGCAGCAGATCTGTATTGTAAAAGCATAGAAAATTTTAAAATTTTATTTAATAAATAAAATAAAATATTTTAAATAGTAAATATAAAGGTGTAAATACTTTTCTTTTCAAGGCATGAAAAATTTCACTGTAGAGAAGGAAGATTGCCCTCATCAAATGTGAAATCAACATTATTAACCTAAATTATCAAGCTTTCCACTTGATCCTTAACTTTGTGTTTTTCTTGATTGGTTATTTCTTTGATTTTTCCCATGTAATATTATTACAAAAGAGGCTCTTTTTTAATATATATATATATATATATATATATTTAATGTTTAAACTATGTATCAGAGTGAGAGTGGAATCCACTTAAAATATAGATTGAATCTATGAGATTCTTTCTTCTTGTGATTCGAATAATCTATTCACGAGGCTGAATCTACAAAGCATGTAGGTGATTTGATCGGAACCGAATTGGTCCTCAAAATTGTTCCGAACTAGAGGAAGTTAATGGCGGCAACTTTGTACTCTAATCTAGTACGAATTCTTATCTCTGTCTCATAAATTTCATTCAATTATTTTACTTCATTCAATTATTTGATTTTGTTATTTCAACAAATCATACGCAGATTGCTGTTCTTCTGATCAGTGAGGTTCGCCGCCACTTTTCGAATTAGGGTTTCGATGCTCAAGATTTAGGGTTTTCCTATGATCACTGTATGTAGTCAGTTCAACAAGTTGGTATTTGATTGTGAATAAAACCCTTGTGATCAAATTCGAAAATACTTTTTGAGTTGATCGATTCGCAATTTCTGTTGTCGGTGCAAGTTTCTTTAATTGAATGAACAGACTCTAATATTTATTGGGTTTGTCCAATTATGTAATCAAAGCGAATTGGATGTTTTTTTATTTGGTAGAGTGTTAATTTATCGAGATTTTTATCGAATTTGGGAGTTGATTGTTTGGTAAAGTCGAAGCTGTTTGGTTGCTAGGAAAGTTTATTTGAGAGGTTGTTAGATCATGGATCATGTTATTGGTGGAAAGTTTAAGGTTGGGAGGAAAATTGGGAGTGGGTCTTTTGGAGAGCTCTATTTAGGTAAATGCCCGTTTTAGTTTAATTTCATCTTTTGTGTTTCATAGTGATAATATTCTTCAGCATTGTGTCTGTTAGTAAATTTATTTCTGAAAAGTTTGTGTAATGATGTCTTATCTGATGGGTTTAATGTTGTTATTTTGAGGGCGTTACAAAGTGGCTATCAAGCTGGTATTCTACTCTCTCTTAGTACTTAATGAATAATTGTCTGATGATCTTTTATCGGTTATTTTGTTTTTGTATTGATTACATTTTAATTTCCGTAGTTAGTAGATTCTGCATTTGACCTGTCTGTGAAGTTTTTTTTTTAGATAATGGAGTCTTCTAGGTTGACCGACAACTGATAGGATACAAAACCTTGCTTTATTTTTGTTTTTCCCTTTTATATTTTTACATGCATGTATATTTTACTTTGATTTGAAAACCTCTTCAAGAAGAATGAAAATTATTGACATTGCATGATTGGTTTAAATTTTTACTTCACTTATGCTCTTCAGTTCCATCAGCAAATTGATACTTTTTGTTGATGTTGATCTATATAACTTTCTAAATTTTTGCACTTGTGGTTTTGGTTTGATTTAGATCACTCTTACCATTTTGTTGATTGAATTCTTCTTTCTTTTGTGATCCTTTAGTACCTGAACAAATATAATAGAACACATTTTTTTTGAAGTTCTAGATGAAGAAGTAGCAATGGTTCCTTAGGCTTTATGGGTTCCATATGGTATGCAGTGAAGCCTTACACACTTGGCACAAACTTTGTAAAATGTGGGATCATTCTCTCTTCACTATGTTTTTTATATGAAATGCTGGGTGCAAACTATGTTACGCTTATTAAGCTTTTTTGCTGTTTTATTTGTATTGAATTGAAGAGGTACAAGTTTCTTTGTGGTACTTCATATTTGTACTTCTTAACCTTATTTGTTTTATAATTACAATTCCAGGAATCCGTCAAGACCAAGCACCCTTAACTTCACTATGAGTCAAAAACCTATATGCTTCTCCAAGGAGGAAGTAACTCTCTCTCTCTCTCTCTCTATCTCTCTCTCTCTCTCTCTCTCTCTCTGGTCCATATATTACTTGAGGTTTTAAGGTTAGATTGGAAGAAGTTTGTTATTGAGGGACTATTTTGAATTTACAGTAGTTTCTATATTTCTGTGGTCAGCATTAATATGATTTCTAATATACTCTGGAGTGAGAGGAAAGTAGGAAACAACTGTTGGTTTGATGGGTTGTAATAGTTTTCTTTTGTATCTTAGAATTTGAACACATTAAATTAACTTTGTAGCTATCTAGAAATAAGAAGAAAAGTAGGAAACAACTGTTGGTTTGATGAGTTGTAATAGTTTTTATCTTAGAATTTGAACACATTAAATTAACTTTGTACCTATCTAGAAATAAGAAGGAAACTATGGAGCCATATTTTTTTCGTTTCCCTTTTTTACTTTCTACATTTTCTTTTCCAATTTTAGCTGCTTTGGGAACTTGACTCTCAAACAATCAGTTTTCAACTGCAACTCTTGTTAATGTTCAAGGACCTGACTGTTGGCCTAAAACGTACTTCAGAGAACATTTTTTTCGTAGAACTTCCTCCTTTCCTTTACTTGTTTCTTTCTTCGCTTCCTGTTATATCATACAATACCCGAGAATTCATTTTTAGGGTGGGGAAGGGGTTGTTGCGCATGGTGCACTTTAACTCCATCATATGTTTTAGCCGGTGCTTTTTTGCGACATAACAATATTTATCTTTTGCACGACAAATTTTCTAACAGATCTGACTTTCTTTTATGTAGCGGGAATTCCCAGCCTCAAATGGTTTGAAGTTGAGAGCGAGTACAATGTCATGGTTATTGACCTTCTTGGACCAAGCTTGGAAGACCTATTCAACTATTGCAACAGGAAGTTCACATTGAAAACAGTATTAATGCTGGCAGATCAGTTAGTAAGTACATGTAGCCATTCTCAATCAAAAAGGTTGCCTTGAGCTTCCAAGTGATAATCTTATGATCCTTTCGTTATTATGTTTTAGATTAACAGAGTGGAACACGTTCATTCAAGAGGTTTCCTTTACCGTGATATAAAGCCTGACAACTTTTTAATGGGCTTGGGGCGCAGAGCAAATCAGGTAAATGTTTGATGGCTCTCATCGGACACTGACACTCTACAGACACTCTTAAAAGTGTGTCACACACTTATACAACTTGTCTTAATTAAAATTTCAAATTCATAATATTGGACACTTTAAAGTTTATAGATACTTCTTGGACTCTTCAGTGACACTCCTTTAAACTCTCTAAAAAATATCCATGTGATGAATCTATTCATAATAACAATAATGTTTTGCATTTGTTGGAATACAACTTGTGCACTCTAAATATGTTTTGAAATATTTATAAGATGAATATATCATGTGTAATTTAATGTTCTACAATTATTTTGCATTCTTTAAACTATAATTGTGAATGATATCTTGACGTTTAAATTATGAATATATGACTTTTTAAATTTTAGTTTGTATTAATATATGTCACTTTTTGGATTACATTTGAATAACAAATTCATGTATTTGACATATAATAAATTTATGTTTTAACTTGTCCCAAACATGTTTGAACGTCGGCATGTCCATGTCTGTGCTGCATGTGTGTGATATTCTTGAGGGAGAATATCAACATTGCAATTAGATATTGAGAAACATTTCCCCTTTTTTTCTCCCTTTTTTCTGTAACTGTCTTAGTTCTTTATCACAGGTATATGTCATTGACTTCGGCCTTGCAAAAAAGTATAGGGATCTTCAGACTCATAAGCACATACCATATAGGTAAGAGATCTTTATTTGGCTCAAAATTGTTGGTTTGATGCTCTTTCCATCCCTGTAGAGGAATTCCAACTTGTTGAACTTCTTTATGTAGTGTCAATGTTTCTGGATTTGTTTCTTTTATGATTGCCTACACATGCAGCCCCTGCTACACTCTCTTAAAACTCAAATTTTTCGTAGGTTTATAAAAGGGTTGGTTAGTAGATGAATGACTGACCATCTTGTTGGGCCAGTGAAATAAAGATGTAGCTATCTTTCTTCACTCATCAAGCAAAAAAACCCATCACTTCCATACCCAGCCAAGTGTCGAATTCTAGTCCTATCTGTTCAATAGCCCAGCACAGCATCTCTTGAGTCCATCAACTCGAGCCGTGGCACTTATTGTCAACAGTAATAATAATATACATTCATAAAAAATCGTACACAAGCTGTATTGAGATTTATCATTTTTAAATAATGTGCTTATTAGTGACCTCCTAATTACAATGTCATTGACACTGAGCTGCTATGGCATCTAATTGTTAACAAGGAAGTTACTTCCAAAAGGATTAAGATCAAGCAGAAATGATTAATGTTCCTATTTTGGTTTGTTGAATTAACTTTTTAGTTTATTCATATGCATCAACGGTTTCTGGATTAATTTGTGTTTTCATTTTTCAGGTCAGAAATTTTTTGGAGAGATGCAAAATATGGTCCAAGAATTAAAGAGCTTAGTTTTTTAAGGTTTTTCATTTTTTAATATATGTAAGTACAGTTAATTTTTTTATATTTGATTCCTTTGTATATACTTTTGAATATTTAATTTCCATTTATGAAATATATGACGTTATTCTATTCAATATGTGGTTATGATTCAAAATATAGTATATAGTATGTATTACATTCTTCAAATGTGCATACAAAAATAATATTGATTATTTTTCAAATATGTAGCACCTTTTTTTATCACAGATTTTATTAGTTATTAATCACACTTAAAAGATGTGATGTAAATATTTTTAATCACACTTAAAAGGTGTGATCTAAATATTTTTAATCACACTTAAAAGGTGTGATCTAAATATTTTTAATCACACTTAAAAGGTGTGATCTAAATATTTTTAATCACACTTAAAAGGTGTGATCTAAATATTTTTAATCACACTTAAAAGGTGGCTCACGGCGTCGGGTGGCGCGTGCATACCACGCGCCGCCTTCCAGGGTGTTTTCTGGTCCGATTTTTGTACTGCCGGACTCCTTTTTCCAAAATAAAATCATTTATGCTCTTAAAAATGACATTAATGAACATAAAAAAATACTTTTATGCTCCTAATCTGATAAAAAAATTTTTCTTCCTCTACAAATATTCATGTGTATAATATATACAAAAGTATACACATGATTAAAGGAAATACGAAAATATCCACAAACAGGCTCTGATACCAATGTAAATCAAAACATACGGCGGAATAAAATGTTTAGATCATACCTCTTAGGTGATTGAACCTCGTGGATAAATCACGTGCTTCCAGAGTCAGATCAATCAATCCCAACAGTGGAGTGATATTACAATGGTGAATATCACCCACACAAACCACAGTGCAACTGACTTGATCGTTGTTTCTTGGGAGAGAGTCAGAATATGGGTAGAAACAGACTCAACGTTGTTTCTCTCTTGGATTACCCATAACCATATAACAGATATATATTATATTATAATATCTATCCATATCAGTTTAAAACTGATAACATCTGTTTCTTGAGTGGTTATCCTAAATAGGTTTTGAATTTGAAATCAAAACCTATTTGGATAAGGATTCAAATTCAAATTTAATGGTCATGCCACATGGGCACCCATTACTAACAGTTTCTTTAGACCAAGAATCAAACCATCTAATTCAAGCAATCAATCAAAACCACACACATATGTAGATGCCAAACTAATAATATAAAATTTAAGCTAAAGATGCACTGTTTTATGTCAATATCAATAACCTACTAACCAATAATACCAAGAACAAATAGAGATTAGATTCCACAATGAACATAGTTAAATCATTTACACTATGAAAAAAAATAGAATTTGGAAATCAAATTGAAAGCATGCTAACAAATAGAAGGCTTCTCTGTTAAACCAACTAATAATAATGAAATTCTAAGCAACCAATTAGAGGATTCTATGTCAATAAGAAGACGTTTGTTAATGAGATTAATCAAAAATTGAACTGGATGATATTACAAATCCAAATAATTAAGTTATTAAATTCAAAACCAATTAATTGGAAAAAAAAATTTCAAATATTAATCATTAACACAACTTCTATAAGTAAATAAAAACTTGAAATTAAGTCATGAATTTGAATTTGAATAAAAACTTGAAATTAATCATTGATCATGAATTTGAAATCTCAGTAAATAAAAACTCCAACTCAACTTCTATAAGTATAAAACAAATTAAGTCATGAAGTTACCTTTTATATCTATAACTCATGCCTCAACTTTAAATTGCTTCCATTGGTAAAGTTTCGAATTCCATGGAAATTGAATACATTTGTACCAATTAAAAAAACCAAAATTGAGATAGAGGGTGGGAGTGAGTGGGAATCATTCCATTATGAATCTTCAGCCTAAAACAAAATCCAAACACACGTGAGCTCAACTAGTGGTGTATGATGAGATTACAAATGTACATTAAATATTGGGGGAAAAAAAACAAAGGTGAGAAAGGTTCAAATGAAAACCTCTTTGTGTACAATGGTACACTACTACAAAAACTGTTAGTAATGGGCGCCCATGTGGCATGACCATTAAATTTGAATTTGAATCCTTATCCAAATAGGTTTTGATTTCAAATTCAAAACCTATTTAGGATAACCACTCAAGAAACAGATGTTATCAGTTTTAAACTGATATGGATAGATATTATAATATAATATATATCTGTTATATGGTTATGGGTAATCCAAGAGAGAAACAACGTTGAGTCTGTTTCTACCCATATTCTGACTCTCTCCCAAGAAACAACGATCAAGTCAGTTGCACTGTGGTTTGTGTGGGTGATATTCACCATTGTAATATCACCCCACTGTTGGGATTGATTGATCTGACTCTGGAAGCACGTGATTTATCCACGAGGTTCAATCACCTAAGAGGTATGATCTAAACATTTTATTCCGCCGTATGTTTTGATTTACAGAAACTAACAAAATGCATAGGAAAACAAAGTGCAATAGCTCATATCTTTGTCAGATTGATTCAATTCAGTTACATTAATAGTATTGGGTAATAGTAAAATGAATATATACTGTCTTTTGGGTATAAATAGGACAGTTTCATGACTTCATTGTAAATTTTATCATTTTTACTTGAATAATCAAATGAAATTGGGAAGTTTGAACTAAAAAGTTTTATGGATGGGGCTGTTCTGTTGAGTATTGCTCATTTGGGACATTTAATTTTGTTTTTGCATGTAATCTTTGTTATTAAGTGATTTTGAATAGAGCTTCAATTTCAATAGAGTTGTTAATAGTTGTTGATTCACTTCCTCCCTCTCTCAACTAAATCTCAATTTGCTATTTAATTTTTAATTTTATACTCGTTTGGTTTTGGATTTAGTTTGTGTGGAATTCAAAATAGAAAATTGTTATTTTTTTTAAGTTGAGTTGAAGGTGTGAGATGTTGTGGTGATGACTGAAATTTGGTTTTGGAGTACTTGCCACCATTAACTGAATTTCATCATAACTTTTCTAGCATTTTATACTACTGATTTGGTTTCATTTGTGGGTTTTTGATTAGATCACGTTTTTTACACAAGCGTGATAATGCTAATTACATTTTTTTTAACTTAAACACAGAATCATATTTGAACAATTATTTTTTCCCAAGTGGATTTGACATATTTGGTAGTTTTGCCCCCTTTCCTAAATTGTGGAATTTAAGTTTTTATCATTAAGTTGATCGTTCAATTGTAATTTGTGAACTTTATCATTGCTTCTTCCAAAATTTTCTTTGTTAACATCTAGGCGATGACACTGGATGTTCACTTCAAATATCAGTTCAATTTTTAATTTGTAGTTCCTAATGTGCCATTATGGAGCAACAAGAAGATTTCAGAAAAATTATGGAGTGACAACCATTTGGGTGCTTTTTGAATGGCTAAGTTCTCTCTCTCTATCTCTCTCTCTCTCTCTCTCATGTAACATCAGCCACCGAAATTGAAGTTGGGTTGATGTTTATAAGTTTGATACAGAGGAATTAACGATGTTGACATGCCCAATAGCCACTGCACCCACTTAGTCTTTCCTCTTTGCCGGTATGTAAACACTACTTCCTCAAATGGCTCTTCTTAAAATACCACTCTCCACTCCTCTTTAAAATCCTCTTATTTATTTTTATTTTTTTCCCTTTTATTGTTCATTTTCATCACTTGAAATACAGGCTGTTAGGTGATGGAATATACAAGTGGGTGACATGGATTGCACAATTGGGAGACAACGCGTATCTAACGTAAAAAGCCTTTTCTTTTTACTATCATTCCTTCTTTAAATACTATAAATGCATACACATATGTATGCGTATAATGTAATGGATAGAATGAGTATGTAACAGATAGAATGAATTTATTTAACGTGAAAAGATCTAATGGTTCCATTTGAAAGATATTTGTTTGTGAGACTATAGTCCCCTTTGAAAGATCAACTAGATTTGCAAATGGATCTTTTGATATTTTTCAAGCATCATGCATTTATGATAGTGTGCTACTGGCAATAAGAAATAATCAGATCTAAAATGCATATAGAGATGTTGAACCAAGTTTAAAGTGAGACTACACTTGAGGCTATACATATAGAATGCATGATTATTTATTTTTTGGTTTCAAATTAATTCATGAACTATATGTATTAAGTAAATTTCTCCTGATTTTATATTGTAATTACAAAGTAAAAGGACAAGGGAATTAAAAATGAAGAATTATTAATATGAAGAATTATTAAAAATGAAGAATTATGTGTATACTGAAAGTTTCGTATACACTGTGACACAGAGTTTAACCTTAAATATGAAGAATTATTAATGGATTGAATAGATCATAACTACAAGTGGTGAATTTTTACCAGTATGGAAGTGCTACATTAGTTTGTTTTAACTTTTATTTTTCATTGGTCAAAAGTGTATTAACTTGAATGTGATTTTTTTTTTCTTTTTAAAACTTGGAGTGTCGTAGGCACGGGTCATCCACTAGTATATATGCATAACTACAACATGGCAAGATAAATTTTAAAGACAAACAAATTATAAATTTTAAAATCAACCTAAAATTAATAGATGAATCATGTAGATTAGACAATATTTTGTTGGAAAAAATAGTACCAAACTATATGTAAACATATAATTTATAAATATGTAAATGGTTTTTGGGCAAAACCAAAACTGAAATAAGTTGACAAAATAATGTAACCAAACTTACAACACATAAATAGATAAAACCTGATCGAGTCGAGTGTATGACACTATTTCCTTAAGACAGATTTGCCCTCTCACCGGTGCTTAGGATTCAATGGACGTCTATCTCCCAGGATACAACGATCAATGTCTTGCATTAGTAGCACTACTATTGCAAGCCTAGCGAACTTTGCTGTGCATGTACTCTCTTTATAGGAAAATTAGACTCAGGAAATATGAGGAATAAATGCAAAGTGAAGAAGAATGGCAATTCACCATCCCAAATGAAGTGAGGGAGGTGGAATATATAGACTTCTATGTGATTCTTCAGAAAGGTTGTGATCCTTTAAAAGGACACATCCTTTCATCTCAAGAGACACAACCATTAGAGTAAATTTTAATTCAAATTTTCCAACAATCCCCCACATGAATGAAATTTACGGAAAGGACATGCAACAGCATGCAGACAAAGAGAGTACATTTAAGGAAATATCTTGCGTCGGGATAGGTAACTTTCGACTTTGAACCTTCCCTAGTGAAAGTCTATCGGACTTACAAGCTAATCAGTGGACGTGATGCCTTGAACTGTTCAGCCGTTTGTGTAAGCCAAGACAACATAATTCACACAGAATATCTCCAGACACAGTTTAGTTCTCACAGTTGTGCTCGTTTTGGCCTTGGGCAAGTCCTAGTGTTTCATGAGTGCTTTAGAAAATTTAGCCTTGGCAATTCTCATAGAAGCGGCCCCTTCACACTCATATAGATGATCCTTATTTTGAGTCTCTTAAATACTCCTCTTGAAAGATGCCCCACTAGGTTTTTCAAGCTATAAGTAATCATCAAAAACATAGCTTATCCTAAATCCCCTACATACAACACATGTTGTAGATATCACTCTCATCATAGGAATGGATATGAGATAGACTCCTTTAGAGATTTCTGACGAGCCACACATAACTTAGTTGTCCCTTTGAACTTAGTTCGTGGGATCTTCAGTCATCTAAGTAGGGTTACCATTATGATAACTCTGGTGTAATAGACTTTAATCACATTCCCCTCGATGAACTTTTCCTCATTTGCTCTCTGGTCAAACTTTTTGTTTAGTGGCCGCTATTTTTCGTTTGACCTTCTTAATTATATATCATTAGTGGATCCATTATATTATCCTTAGACAATATTCACAACTGAAAGCAAATGTCCTACGGTATTAAGTCTTTGATTACGTCGAGACTTACCGTTACTCTATGTCACTCCCATTTTCAAATTTAAAATAATAAATATAGAGTTGTTCCTTAGGAGTTAATGAAACCATTTTTACTTCTACTCCAACTTTGTCCTATAGAAAGAATTGAGATTCTTTGTAGACGTACAATCGGAACTGTTACTTTGGTAAAATACACCAAGCACCCCCACATTTTAAGCATTCTAAGAAAACTTAATTTCTCTTACTGATGTATAATTACAAAAAATATTAATACACCTCCACAATTCTGAGATAAATTAGAATATATCATTAATTGGCGTACTTGAACTAAATAACAAGATGTAAATTGCTTTGTGAATATAATCACTATACTAATTTGTCTAAAAACAATTAGACTTCATAACTTGTTTTTGCAGTACAAAGAAGAAATGACTAAAACCGGTTGTGGCCACAACACTTTGTCAAATAACATTTCTTTAGCCATGATTAATTTCTTTTTGTTTACTGCAACCCTTAATTCCAATCTCCACATGGAATACAAATATCACTGTATAAATACATTTACATCTTATTTGTCTTATCCAGTATTGGTGACTATGTCGACAATTATCAAAGTGTATTTCACCCATGAAATATTTTAACTTATATAATATTTCATTACGGAGTTATCAGTCACCACACTAATTTTAGTCATTATTTCAAAGAATAATTAGAATTCCTCTTATGTCAAAACACATAAGTTCACATTTTTATCAATACTTTGCTAAATAATTGACATCTATTTATAATACACCATATACCAAATTGATATTAATGACATTATATATTGTCAACTCTACAACATATGTAGACATGGACAAGATTAACAAATCAATCATAATCATAATTTTCCAATTAATCTCTCTCCCCCACATTTGTGATAATACATAAATTAGCACAAACAATATGATTAATTTCCAGACAAGTGTCACTGTAACTGTCACAAATAATAACTCATTCAAAACTATTTGGGCAATTCACCATTTTCCATAATAATTTCATGACTACATGATGTCCATAAGTCGTCATAATTAAATAATAAATTGACATCAAAGTACTATATATGTTTGATATCTCTATGAATGGTGATTGACTTTCTCAGAATATCCACTAATCAATATAAAGATACAATACAGTTAAATTAATTCACACCACAAAAATGAATTAATGATTATGACACAAAATAAAGACTGAATCTCTTTTCTCATACAAAAAATATAACAGATAATTACAAATTATAAAGGCACCATTTCAAGTTGAAAGACATATTTTCAAAATTTGCAAATTCTGAAAATGTCAAACTTTAAAATAACATAGAGCATAACCCTCACTATGTTTCTTAAACTTCAATTTTAAGATCTTTAAGATTAGTAACCAGAACTTGCAACTCAAGAACTTGATCCAAAACAGATATATTATCAACTATAGTAAATTCAAAATATTTCTTAGTTAAAAAATTTATCTGCACTTTTTTTAATTTTTAATTTTTTTTTATTCATGCTCTACTTTAATTACATGATTCAAACAAAAGGGTTTAATAGCAAACTTGGTTATCCACCAAATAACAGAGATCTTCAAGAACAAATTTGAAGCATAATATAAGAAAACAATAACTTTTTATAAAAATGATTTCCCACTTCCAGTAGCCATGACGACTGAGCAATCTCTTCCCAGAGCCACTTAGAGTATATATATCTGGAAATAGGTTTCCCATCTTTGTCAGTGGAAAGAACTTTTTGCGGAAAGGGAAACCATTCCGCGAAAGTCTTGTAATTTAAACCATCCCTTGGTACATTACACTCACCGATTCAGATGCCGAAAATCAATCTGAAAACCTTCTTCTCAGATCTTCAAAGCAGAAGAAGAATTCCGTTCAGATCTGATCGACGCAGAGAGTGTTTATAGTGTGTGCTTAAGGCATATCAAACTAATCATTTCAAAAATCTGGAAAAATGATAACGATTCAGCTCAGAATCAAACAACATGCATATAAAATTTGTTATATTATTCTAATTAATTTATCCACACAGAAAAAACTGAATCCAATTTCCTAAACAAAATAGGAAATTCAATACCAAACTATATATCGAACACCGAAAGAATTTTTTTTTTTTTTTTCCTTCATTCCTGTGAAATCCAACGACTATAGCACTTTCCATTGGAATGAAAATTGAAGTCCCAGACATATTCCCAAAAGGTCCATATTTAGTAACATGTTTTGGAAAAGATATAGAAACAACATATACATTTACTAAAACACAGTTTGTACAAAAGCAATCAATTATATTTTTTCAAAAATCATAAATAGGCACAAGAATCTGTCTTAAGATTGTTGAAAAAATAGTACCAAACTATATGTAAACATATAATTTATAAATATGTAAATGGTTTTTGGGCAAAACCAAAAGTTGACAAAATAATGTAACCAAGCTTACAGCACATAAATAGATAAAACTTGATCGAGTCGAGTGTGTGACACTCTTTTCATAAGACAAACTCTTCCTTCCACCGGTGCTTATGATTCAATGGACGTCTATCTCCCAGGATACAACGATCAATATCTTGCACTAGCAGCACTACTATTGCAAGCCTAGTGAACTTTGTTGTGCATGTACTCTCTTTATAGGAAAATTAAACTCATGAAATATGAAAAATAAATGCAAAGTGAAGAAGAATGGCAATTCACTATCCAAAATAAAGTGAGGGAGATGGAATATATAGACTTCTATGTGATTCTTCAGAAATGTTGGGTATGTTTGGTTTGTGTTTGAGAGATGTGTTTTAGAGATAAAAAGTACGAAAAGTTGTTTGGTTTGGTTTTTTTCAAAAGATGTTTTGAAAAATTATTTTGAGAGAGAGTTTTGGAAAAAGTGATTGATTTGATGTGTGTGAGAGAGAGATTTGTTTGGAAAACTTGTTTGCATGTACTCTCTTTATAGGAAAATTAAACTCATGAAATATGAAAAATAAATGCAAAGTGAAGAAGAATGGCAATTCACTATCCAAAATGAAGTGAGGGAGATGGAATATATAGACTTCTATGTGATTCTTCAGAAATATTGTAATCCTTTAAAAGGACACACCCTCTCATCTCAAGAGGCACAACCATTAAAGTAAATTTTAATTTAAATTTTCCAACATATTTTACACGTCCTTAACTTAGCATGGGGTGCCAGCCCAACATGCAATTCTATCCCCAATTCAAAATTCCTCGATGGTACAAGGCATATTCGAGTTTGGTCTCATGGTCCCAATTGCAAAAACAAAACCCCAATTTTGTTAGGACTCTACCACTATTAAACTTAACCACCAATCAATGACTACAGTTTCACCACGTGGTAGGTGTCAATTTTCAGCATCTTGAAAAATATATATATATAAAAAAAAAATCATGCATTTATGCTTTTATGGGAAATACATATATATAAGTGGCGACCCGAGATCATCGTATTTTCCTCTGAGGATTCGTCAAAACACGCCTCTGTCAACAATCGTCCTCCGCTTCGCTTTCTTCTTCCGATCCTCCCAAGGTAATATGCATTCAAACCAAACTCTTTTCCTTTTTGTGATCTCTTTCTTCTTCTTCTTTTATGTTGTTCCTTTTCAATTCTAATCTTTTTTGTGTGTTTGAACGCTTAATCGTTAGTTTTACCCAAGAAAGGAAAGAAAACCCAAAATCTTATGACAAACAAAGTGAATAAGTTCGTTTTTTTTGTGTTATTTTTGATGGGTTGAGAGGTTTTTTATTTTATGGGCAATCAAGCAATCTCTTTTGTATTGTCCTTGTTTATTCGATTTTTTTGGAGTGATTTGCGAAAAGAGATCCAATTTTATGTTGAACGTATCCGTAGTTTTGTTTTTGTATTATTTATGTTAGAGATTTCTAGATTGAGCTGAAACGACTCTGGTGTCTTGATCTGTTCGTTTCAATTCTGCATTTTTTTTATTTTCCATGTTCAAAATTGGCCTTCGAGGCCGATGGGACTTCACGATTTTCTCTTTTAGGGTTTGATTTGAATCTCTCCCGGATCTGTTTAGACAAAATAAAAGTTACTTATTTGTAGTATTGTTGAATTTGTCTACAAACTCATTGGTGATTTTGCTAACATGTAAGCAATTTTATGCTCTTGTTGGAATTTGTTACATAAAAAACGGATTTTGACTTGTGGCATCTGTTTATTGTGAGTCTTTGTTGATTATTCCTTTTTCTTTTTCTTTTTCTTTTTCTTTTCCTTTTCCTTTTTTTTTTATAAAAAAAAAAATGCAATCTTGTAATTTATTCTCACTTTTGGGTTTCATGAGTTCACCGATGGGTGATTGTAAAAATATCTTCAAAAACTAAATTAAAGTGAGTTTTTACCAATTTTTTCTTTTTCTTGCTCCATTTTTTGGTTTCTAATAGTGAGGAATTACTTGCAACTATACTAAGTTATGAAATACCAATAATAAAGAGTTATCTAAGGTGGGCTGCTTTTAATCCTGCCCCCTTTTTAATATTTTTAATATATATATATATATATGTTTTACTTGCAATGCAAATATCTGTGGGAGACATTTCCCATTACTTGTGTTGGATTATGTAAGTTTGCTTTATATGGGTACATATCTATTGTAAATTGTAGTTTGTCTTTTCTCACAACCTTGTTTGCATTCATTCCTTATTTTGTTCTTACTCATGTCCCTTAGCATCCATTGTTCATCTCGCTAAGCATCCATCTTAACCTTCTCCTTTAGTTACAGAGATTTTAAGAATGTTTCATTTAGTATGCACTTTATATTTATTTCAACTTAAAGATAAATTAAGGCGCTTTGATACTGGTCAGCTCCACATTATAATTAGACTTAAATCTTTTACCATACGTCTCTAAACTCTCAATTAAAGCATGGATTGGAAGCAAAGTATTTGTTTAAGCAATGATACAATTATCAATATTTTTTTTAAACCATTCAAGCTACAAGAATGGGTATGAACATGGGATGTTGAACTCCCACATAATGCAATTTCTAAAAATTAAGACATGGACACGGTAGTTGGGGACTATTTGTCCATGATTTGTAATCAAATGTAATCCTTTCAGGTTAATAATCACAGCATAAATAAGAATCTGTCTTCTTAATGCATAAATAAGGACTGTATTCTTTTTCCTTGTAACACAAGCTTGGTCGTTTAGTATGTGGAAAATAACTTGTTACGAACTAATACAATTAGTAGTGATGTATTTTTTCTGAGTCCTAACTTTTTCATCCTTGCATTCTGGTCTTCTTGACTAACAGATTGATAACTGGATCTTAATGAATTCAACAACCACTGTGGTATCTGTCGTTTCCTGTAAATCGGGAAACCAGAACGACTTCTTTTGCTGGATTTTGGTCTGCTTACTGTCAAAGTTCTTCAAGACTCCAACTGTATACGAGAACTTCCTTTTGATTAAGGACATTGATAAGACTCCTTTGGCTGTATGCAACTTGGAGTCCTTTGAAGAGCTTCATCCATAGGAGCAATTGATATTTGGCCATCTGCAACCCACGTCATTATTTCCTCTCTGCATCCCTGGTTGATACTTGGCAGCATGGTTTCCTCTCAGTTACCTGCTCTTACCAAAACTGACATTTCCAAATCATTCCAAAGTCAGCTATTTTTCCCAGTTAACATTCCTGATGTCGTTCCCTCAGATAATGTTGAGTTAGACTTCTCTGATGTGTTTGGTCCTTTACCAGGTCAGGCCTCAATTGAAATTGGTAATGGGGAGCCTGAAAATTCAGTGCCTACGGCAGATGTGACTGATCTTATCTATGATGACCCTGTGGTCATTTACAACCGATCACATTCTTTGGTTGGCCCCTCTACTTGTGTCAGTCAATCTTTGAAACTGAGCATGCTTACCATTCATGAGACAGAAGACGGAATGGAATTTGTGGAGAGCATCAGTCATGAGACAGTCAAAGAAGTTCAGGAGCTTTTGGTTAATGATTGTATTGTTAAGGAATCTCTGGAATGTGCTGCTGATAATTCCATTAAGGTCCAGGGTGTAGGCCTTGAAGATTTTGAGTTTATGAAGGTTGTTGGTCAGGGTGCATTTGGAAAAGTATTTCAGGTGAGGAAGAGGGGCACATCAGAAATATATGCAATGAAGGTTATGAGGAAGGATAAGATAATGGAGAAGAATCATGCTGAATACATGAAAGCGGAGAGGGATATTTTGACCAAGATACAACATCCCTTTGTTGTCCAGCTAAGATACTCATTCCAAGTAATTTTCACCTCAACAGTAGTAAAATCTTGTAGGTTCCTATTGGCATGCTTCAAGCCTCCACCGTATTTTTTGAAAATGTGAAAATGGTCTACTTAAACTGAAGCTCTTGGACATGAGATATGAATTTGATATGCATATTTGCAGCTTTTGTTAGTTTGTTGACATTAATTCTGAGTTCTTCATGACCTGCAGACCAAATATAGACTTTATCTTGTGCTGGATTTTGTGAATGGAGGACACCTATTTTTTCAGCTCTTCCACCAAGGACTTTTCAGGTATCTTCTGTCATTCTGCTTTGTATATTTCTTTGAAATTCTGGAGATGTAAATTTGATTAATTCTTACTCCATGTTTCAGAGAGGATCTGGCACGTATATATGCGGCAGAGATTGTTTCGGCAGTGTGTCACCTTCATTCTAATGGCATAATGCATAGGGATCTTAAACCTGAAAATATCCTACTGGATGCAGATGGCCACGTACTCTCTCTCTCTCTCTCTCTCTGTGCAAAATTGTAATTTTAAATTCTGATTTTATTTATTGTTATTTTAGGCCATGTTGACTGACTTTGGCTTGGCGAAGCAATTTGATGAGAATACAAGATCAAACTCTTTGTGTGGAACTGTAGAATATATGTCACCTGAAATTGTTCTTGGGAAGGGCCATGATAAGGCTGCAGACTGGTGGAGCATTGGAATCTTATTGTTTGAGATGCTCACAGGGAAGGTTAGCATCTTATATTAATTTTTCAACAATGATATGTGGATCATATCATACACACAAAATTTTCATTCTGCAGTTGCCAAGCCTCTTCTGCAGAGGTGGTTGTATATTTTATCGTTGCATTTTAAATTCATACTAGTATTTTTTGTTCTCCTTTTTCTTGAATGGAAGTGAATAAACCTTAAAACCACTCAAACCATAAAAGATGGTTAGCCAGCATTATTTTTTTATTGCCTTTGTCATTTTCGTCATCTCACTGTTTATAGTTTTGCTTTCTTTTGGTGCAGCCTCCATTTATTGGTGGGAACCGTGAGAAAGTTCAACAAAAAATAATAAAGGATAAAATCAAGCTGCCAGCATTTTTGTCAAGTGATGCACATTCTCTATTGAAAGGGGTATGCATGCATTTAAAAAACCATCCTCAGCCTGTAGTTTCTTTCCAAATTTTGATTATCTCATGAATCATAGGATTGAGATGAATTGTTTCTTGTATTTTAGCTTCTACAAAAAGACCCGAGCAAGCGCTTAGGCAGTGGACCCAAGGGGAGCAAAGAAGTAAAGCGCCATAAATGGTTCAAGCCAATCAACTGGAAGAAATTGGATGCTAGGGAGATCCAGCCAAGTTTCCGCCCTGAAGTTGCTGGACAACACTGCATTGCCAACTTTGATAAGCGTTGGACTGACTTGCCACTTCAGGATTCTCCGGTATCCAGTCCAACCGCCAATGGCAACCTCTTCCAGGGCTTTACTTATGTGAGGCCTGCAGCTTCCTTTCTTCAGAGGAACAGTTCGGCGTGCTAGTATGGCTTCTATGAGCTGCACTTTCTAGGAGGCATTGCTTTTCCTTTTTTTAGTGCCATGTGATGGTTTATTTAGGATCCCCATGTTGGGTATAATATTAAACTTTTCTTAGGAAGTGTTACCAGAGAAGGTAAACTGTGTGTTTGGCCAACAACCATTCTCTGATGTATTAATCTTATTATCAAAATACTTTTTGTTTTTTCAAACAAAATTTCAATATTTGACTTGATGACAAGGTTTGCTTTTGCAAATTTGTAAGTTTGAATCTTGGGTTTGTGTTGAAATTTGTGAAAGAAAGGAAAAGGTAAGAGACAACCCAAAATTCTTTGGGAAGCAATTGAAGTTCTTTTGCCCCCTCAATGTTCATGTGGGATGTCTGAATGCTTGGTTATTGGAATGGCTTGCTGTACTCTTACTAAAAGCAGGAGCAAAGAAGAAAAAAGAGAAAGATGGACACTTGGAATATGAAAATTCCTTGAGTTGTTGTGGGACCTTATGATTGTATGTGATATAACTTTGTTCTGTACATGGTTTACATTAACATGGGTTGTCAAATCTTTCGTCTATTCCTAGTAGTTAAATTTTTTGTTGGTTAGTGAGGCAACACGGCTCCTCCTGCTGATTTGGGGAAGTTCTGAATTACATTGGAGGACATGTTGGGAAAGTAATGATATAAATACTTTGATTTTTAAATTTTGGATAATAGAAGCTATCTTATTTATTTCTTTCTGGATTTTATTATTATTATTTTTTTAACAATTGCTATGAGAGAAATTATAGAATAAAATTTATATTCTGCAGCCTTAAAACTTAAATCCAAACATCACAGATAATTAAAAAAAAAAGAAAGAAACTCTCGTGGATTCCCTTCTTTAGAGTTGGGTTTTGCTCCTTTGGTTGGCAATTAGAAAGGGTACCAATGTCTTTTTCATTTTTCATAAAACAGCAAATACAGGCCTCTGTTGCTTGCTGACTTGCTGTTTTCTCAGTCTCCACACATGCCCATCTCAATGGATAAACCCAGGATTGACGCGTGGGAAAAAACCCACCTTTGCTGACACTAAAACTTTGAGAAAAACCCACCTCACTCGTGCCATAACCTTACTCTTGATGAGTATCCATGGCTTCTTCTGTGCTATCCTCAGCTGCCACTTCTCTCCAACAACAGAATCATAAACCCACCACCACTTTCTTCTCTCCCACGAGATTCACCTCCCACAACCAACTCTGCTCCTTCACTACCTGTTTCAAGAGAAACCCAGTGAAGTGCAATGCATCTCTCGATAACATATCAGAAAATCTCTTCAAGAACACTCTTGAACTGGACCAATCACTGTCTCTATTCCCCGTTTTCCGATCCGGGTATGAGCAGTTTCAGAGTGCTACGGCTGAATTACCAGAGATGGAGAAGTGGGGGATTCTGGTTTTTGCAGGGTTTACTTGGCTTTACTTGACTGCTAGGCCAGGTGTTCTGATTGGTGCCATTGATACATATTTTCTTGCTCCTCTGCAATTTGGTTTTGACAGTTTGACGGGGAGGAGGAGCTTGAAGATGTCTGATTTTCTGGTTGGGAATAGATTGGGAGAGGGCACATTTGGTGTTGTTTATTCTGGTGTGATTGTGCCGAAGAATATGAATGCAGAAGAGAGAGTACAGAAGAATGGTCGACGAAATGCCTCAATGATGGATGGGCAGTTCAAGCAGAAGGTTATTCTCAAAAAGGTAAACTCGGTGATTGATGTTAACTCCTGAATTGTTCCTATTTTGGACACACTTTAAGAATGTGATTGATCATATACCTCCTAGTTTCATTTTGGTCATAACTTCAAAAAATGTAATTTCTTCCATTTACACTTTGTAGACTGGTTGTATTCCTTGTTAATTAGGTTATTTGATTCAGTAATATGTGAAAACTGCCTAGTATATCAACATTTTTTCTCCTACTTTTGACAATTACCTAAATCCACTAAATAATCAAGACGATTTCTTCGGTTAGTAGATGCACTTAGTTTTTTCTATTCCCTTTGGCTGCTCCAATGTTGCATTCTTGAAGATATCTGATAGTCCATTAGTTGGATACAGCTGCTATATGCCCATCCATTACACTAAGTTTATACACAACATTTATTTTTCTTATTTTTTGTCCAATTTATTTTAGGTTCTTAAGAATGTTTTGGAAGTCAGTTTTATTTTTAGATGTCTCATAGCCTGCTAGAAAACTATTTTAATTTATAGTTGTTGGAAGCAATATATTCACGATTTACATTTTAAATTCTGCCCCGTTTGTTTTAATTTTCTATTCTCTCTTATTTTTGCGTTATTGCTTTTGATGTGGAGTTAAATTTTATTTATTTATTTTATATACTGATAAGCCATAGGTATTTCATTGCACTGCAAGACAGGGTCTTTTATTAAAAGAAGAGCATAATGAAATTGGAATCCAATTGAGCAATCCTTTTATTTGGCTTCACTTTCTTTTATTATTATTGTCATTATTTGTTGTTCTTCTTGATTTTCTTTCAACACAAACCCTCCTGCCCCTTCTTCTCCTGACGTTTGATTGGATTATTTAGATTGCTTATGTATGAACGTTAACAGGTGAAGATTGGAGTTCAAGGTGCTGAAGAGTGTGGTGATTTTGAGGAGTGGTTCAATTATAGGCTGTCAAGAGCTGCTCCTGAAACATGTGCCAAGTTCCTCGGAAGTTTTATTGCCGACAAAACAAATTCACAGTTTACAAAGGGTGGTAAATGGCTTGTCTGGAAATTTGAGGTAGTCAATCTATTTCTTCAATCTTGTGTGTGTTCTGCGATTTTTTACTTTTAGTCCCTTCTTGCCTGGACCTCGTAATATCACACTTTGTAAATGCTGCCCAACTGTCATCAATTCGCTCCACCAGAGTAGTTGCCACATATTTGATAATTGGTTTTACTCAGCCATTCTAAATCTCCCATAAAGCCTCTCTCTGACATTCAACTTCTTAAAATCAACCAGTACAAATACATTACTAGTTCAAAAATGATTTTCATGACATTGAATTATGAAGGACATGCACAATTATGAAGTTGTGGACTTGTTATGGATACATATAATCATGTGTATTTTACTTTTAATGTACTCTTTCAATTTGACTTGTTCTATGAAATGCATAGCCATTAATCAAGTGAAATCCTTTGTGACAGGGTGATCTAGACCTTGCTGACTACATGAAAGATCGCAACTTCCCTTTAAACTTGGAGTCGGTCATGTTTGGGCGTGTTTTGCAAGGCATGGACTCTATTGAACGAAATGCATTAATTATCAAGCAAATTATGCGTCAGATTGTTACTTCACTCAAGAAAATCCACGACAATGGGATTGTTCACCGGGACATAAAGCCAGCCAACTTAGTGGTAACAAAGAAGGGACGGATTAAGCTCATAGATTTCGGGGCAGCCGCAGACCTCCGTATTGGCAAAAACTTTGTACCCAAACTTGGCCTTCTTGACCCTGATTATTGTCCCCCTGAATTGTATGTACTCCCCGAGGAAACACCTAAGCCGCCACCTGAGCCAATCGCTGCCTTTCTTTCTCCAATTCTATGGCAGGTATTACATTTGATTTTCTTTTCCAAACACAGTAACATAATGTTGATTGAAGTATAAACTATAATATTTTTCATTGTTCTTTCAGCTGAACAGTCCTGATCTGTTTGATATGTATTCTGCTGGGATTGTGCTCCTGCAAATGGCAATACCTACATTGAGATCCACTTCAGGGTTAAAGAATTTCAATTTAGAAATAAAGACAGTTGGATATGACTTGAACAAATGGAGAGAGAGAACTCGGTCAAGGCCTGACTTAAGTATTCTTGACCTTGATTCGGGCAGGGGGTGGGATTTGGTCACAAAGCTTATTTCAGAGAGAGGTTTCCTGCGAAGGGGCCGCTTATCAGCTGCAGCCGCTTTGAGGCATCCGTATTTCTTCTTGGGCAGTGACCAAGCAGCCTCAGTTATCTCAAAGCTTAGCTTAACCAAGTAATGAGGTGCTTGGTAATGTGAGTAGCAAATCTTTTTCCTTCCTTATATTTGTTACTGGTGAATGAATTCAGACCAAATTGGCCAAAAGAATGCAATATATAGTATAAAAGAATCATCTATAAGAATATGCTGATTCCTGATTCTGATTTCTTTTGGTGGATTTAGAGCTATTTCCAAATAGGAAAAGCTATTTCTTCAATTTCTAAGCATTGAAATTAGTTTTTCCCTTATCTGCTATACCTTTCTCCATCTCTTGTACAGAGTTCCTGGATGAGTCTTATTAGCAGTGTTGGTGCCAAAGGCAGCAGGATATTGTTAGAACTCTATAACCTACAACCTCTGTTTCTGTTGTCTTCTGATTTAAGAAAGTGCTTTCTAAGATGAACTAGTTGATATTTGTTGCTAAAATGCTGCTGAAAACAGTAACAGTCTGTTTGGTAAAGTGGGCAAGAAAATAAATGAGTTGCCTACATAAAAGACAAGTCTCAATTTAAGCAGCAACAATAACTTCCTTCTTTCATTGCTCAATAGCTTATTTTAAAACACACACATTGACATATATACATATATATTAAGTGGAAGTTGTTTCTTTTTATAATTCTCTACATTTTTAAAGCTCATCATGGTAGAGGACAGTCTCCAAAGGATGTTTCTTCTTGCAACCCCAATGACATTTCCAAGTACAAAAGGAGTTCAAGGCCTCTAGCCTCTTGGACTGAATAGATATCATGGTTGCTGTTGAAAGAGACTTTGAAAGAACAATTGCATACCCATCATCCATGTAGTCTGTTCCATCAGGAAACAGCTGCCACAGAAGGCTTCCACCTCCACTCCCTCCTTTCTTAGCAGAATCCAATAATATTTTGTACACTGTACTGACAAGGGTGTTCCGGAAAGACGAATTGTAGCCAGGGTCATTTGCAGATACACCAAACTCGGCAAACAGCACTGGCATTCTGAGGAAATTCTCAGCATCTTCAATGTGGGCTTGCATCCATGACTCGACAAATGGGATATGAGCATTCGAAATCGATTCTGAAATCCTTCATGACACATTTCATATTCTAATCAGAAGCAGCCTCCCCCATGTTAGGAGGGGGGGGGGGGATGAAGAACATGCACGTTTGCATATTCTAGTCCTTTGGCTCAATTTTTTAGCTGGCTTATTTTTGTTTCATTAAAGACATAAATAAGCCTAAAAAATACACAACTTATAAGTTGCAGCCAAAATAAAGTGATCCATATTCTTCCAAATTAAAATTTTGTAATGTTCCATTTCGAAACGAGGAATTTCCAGTGAAGAAGTAACACTTACCAAGAGTCTGGATAAATATGAACAGAAGCAAAATCAACACCAAGAACTTGATGGTTCCTGATAAAGTCAGTTCCAACTTCTTGAGCAAATGTATTTGGGTTGAATTGAACCTTGTTAGGTGTTGAGGGACCATAAAATCCTTCCAACCCAATCCCAACTAAGTGGTTTGGATCAATGCTCTTCACATACACTGCCATTTCTTCTATCCATTCCTGCAAAACAGTGACGTCTAATATATTAATTTCCTAAACATTATAGTTCAATTACCGAATATAAACACAAGACATATTTCCATTTCATGTTAAAGTGTGCTTTTCTTGCATACAAGTTTAACCAATCTTTGTGATTCTGTTACTTGCAGATACCTGAAACTTTTATGCAAAATCCTAACTGGTGAAGGAAACAAACCTGCAGTTTATTCCCAGAAGGATCTGAGACACACCGCGGTTCATTCATTAGTTCCCAGGCGAAAATTGTCGGATCATCCTTGTAAGTAATGTTGCGGATTGTATTCACTCTATTCAACACTATCTACAAGTCAAAATATTGGGAGGGAGAGAGGGAGCAAAATTAGGCTTCACACTGAAAACACAAAGGTGACCTCACTATTGCAAAGTTGTTCACTGAACATGTCTATGACAAGCTTAAATTTCAAGGCAATTTATTTGACATTAAAAACTGAAGGATGGTTATAAAAGCAGCGACTGTGCTATGAACACACAAAATTCAAAGAACCTTTGTTTTAGATATGTATCTCATTCTATGAAATCTTGATGTGCAAACTTAGATTTATTCTAAAAGTAGTAATTAAGGAACATGCCTTGACATGGGCCTTGTAGTAGGTTTTGAGAGTTGGATGAGTGAAGAAGTCATCATCTGAAGTCAAATTCAAGCCAGCAGCTTTACCCCATTTCACGTATTGTGCTTTGCCACCAAATGCATCCCAGTTGTTGGTTAATGATAATATGAGTCTGATCTTGTACTTCCTTGCTTCACTGACTACAAAATCCAAGGCCTGTAATTCATTGAGAAAAAATAAAAGAAAAGAAAAGAAGAAGGAATTTATATACTCACTCCATAGTAAATGCTTACTTAATTGCCTACATTTACAGTCATTGAGAAAAAGAATGACCTTAAAAACATTTTCATCATAGACAGAGGGTGAAATTTGAAGAGCTCGCCATTGGCCATCGTTGAAAGCCCAAGTACGGCAAACTGTTAGACCCACAGAAGATGCTTGCTGAAACACCTCACTCACTTTTCCTCTTGTTGATTGATCTGCACCAAATACCATCAACCAGTATGTGTTGAATCCATTCACATAGAATTGTTTCTCATTTACGACAAACTGGTTCCCCTTCTTCTCTACCATAACCCACGCATCATCAGCATTATCTTCCGTTTTACCAAATCCACATATCCTACACACATCGATAAACAAATACATATCAATGTTAAAGAAGTATGTGTCAAATTTGTAATCATTGAGCAAAAGTTAAAAAACATCTCTCCTTCAACTTCTCAATAATCAGCTTTTCCAGCTGATTTAAACTATTTTGTCTCGTATGTTGTAACTATACCAAGCATTCTGGCACAAATTCTCAAAAAGGAAATGGTATGCTCACAGAATTCGTATCTAGAAAAATACCGAGAATATTTAATGTATGGTCCACGTATCTTTACCGCTTTAAAAAATATAGATATAAGCTGCTCCATAAACTACATCAATCAGAATATGTACATATATGAATACCAAGAAAGTAAACAATTCTAATGGAACTGAAGTTTCTGAAGAGTACTACCCATGGTCTGAAGTCCCCACCATTAATTCCAGATTTTGATCTCCGTAGACCCCAGAAACAGTGTAGCTCAAATTTTGGGTGAAAAGCACAGCAACTGCGACCAAAAAAGCTTTTTTAAATCTGAAGTTTTGGTCATGGGTGTCCATAGTTTTTGAGTGATCATCAACAGCCACAATTCAATTTTTCTTTATTTTCTTGAACAGAACATACATATATGGAGATCTAAGTTCTTTTCCGGCTATGTTGGGAACAGTATTGTTGTGTTCCACAAGAGAAGTGTTAGTGAGGGGATCATGACTATACCTTGGAAGCAAAGACAATTTTCTTTCTTTGTCCTGCAATTTGTGCTGTCTCAAATTAAGGATACACAGATGAAGAATTAGGTGGAATGAAGTTCTCTCTCTCTCTCTCTCTCTCTCTCTCTCCCCATAAAAATCCAGAGCGTGGCTCAACTTAATTGCTCACCTATGACCCCACCAAAAGGACTCATTTTTTAATAAAAACAGCTCTCAAAATGAAATTGTGAACAAACAAAATAGGTAAAATGACCTCTCATACTTGTATTTCATACATGTGAAAACAAAACTTCTCTTATCCATCCTCATTATATCTTGCTCTCTATTTCATTCAAAACAAAAAGAGACAGACACAAAAGCAACGTCTTTCATAAAAACAATTAAACTCTGAAAAAAAAAGGAAAAAAAAAGAAAAAGAAAAGAAAAGGAAAATCTCTGTCACCATATATATATATAAACAAATGCCCCATATGGGCCTTATCATTATGTCAGGTTTTTTTTGGTGAGAACCCTCTCTTATTGGGCCTTTTTGTGTAAAAGATATGAAATGAACTAATACTGTAACCCCTTAGAATTGAAAAATAAGATGAAAAGGCAGGAATACCTTTGCATATATATGGGCAATAGTAAGCAATTAAGTTTTTTGTCTCTCTTGCTTTGTTTCTTCGTTTGAAAACTATTGAAGTTCAAAAACCCTTCTTCGAAAACTATCATTTGAACAAAAATTGAAACATAATGAGAGATTTTCAAGTACCATTGTCGAATGTTTCGAAATTATTGAACGATTTCATCATCTTTTACCGGTCATTTCTTTTGAATCAACCATCACAAGTCAAAGAAGCTCTCTCTCTCTCTCTCTCTTTGTGCCAACTCCACTGCCGATGGTTGTTTATCACCTCCACCATCTCCATCATTGGTTGGCGTCGCTCTTCCTCGCTGTCGGACGACAACCATCATTTTTACTGTCAGTTATCACCATATCAGATTTGATGCCTATGAACTCATGTTCAAGGTCAGTGACTTCATATATGAGATAAATGACCTCAGATATGTCAAAAAAATGATAAATTGAGAGATTGCAATGAAAAATTGAGAGTTTCTTGTTTGTTTGTTCATAGATCTAAAGTAAAATTCAACTGTGATTCCTTTTATCTAGTATGTACTCTGTTTTTCGTAACAATAAAATTTTACTTTGGTGAACGAAAATAAAGTTTGATTGTTGATTTGCTTAACGATAGTAAAATTTTACTTGGAATCATAGTAAAATTTACACTACTTCAGAGTAAAATTTTACCCTGAATGACGCTACAATTTGCCTTACTTTGGTAATGACAAAAAAAATTTACTATCTATGTCAATTTTGATGGTATTTTGTTTTATTTTTTTTAAGAATTTCATAGTTAACCTAAATCTTGTTTGATAGATTTTGATGATAGGATTTTTAAAATATTAATTTTATTAAAAACCGAAATCTAAATCAAAAGTTACATAATTTTAAAGTTTAAAAATAAAAAGGGCACATATGTTGGTACACGTTGGATATGTTTTCCAATAGAACTCATACTAAACCTATATTGTGTCCAATAGTAACATTTTGTTGGAAAATGGTTTTGAAAAATCTTTATTTTTTGCTAATTTTGAGCATTAATTAAGGTGGGTCCCGAGCGTTATTTTTAACATTTTTCATTAGGTTCATATTTAATCCCGCGTAGTGAATAAAACCGTGTATTTTGTTACTCAAAACCATTTCCGAATGAATGAGAATTCAACGTGTGTTTTTGGGTTTGTGGAAATGGCTTTAAGTGGGTTTCTTATACATTTGTGAAATGTGTTTGTCCCATATTGGAAAGGCTTATGGATTTGTGTGGGTTTATATACTCTAGCTTGAGATGCTTGGGATAAGCCCCAAGGAGTACACAAGTTTGTGGAAGGGTGAGGTTATGGGTAAAGTGGGCCAGACCCACTGGACCCAAAACAAAAACTACACGCGCTGCTGTCTGTCCATCCAGTTAGGCGGACGGGCCGGTAGGTTGGGCTGGGGCTGAACCTGGGCTTGGGTGCGTGGTGTGAGGTTGGGTTGGGCTTATTTGGCTCAATATCTATTTTTTTAACATTTGTAATTTATTTATTTACTAGTGTATGCCCGTGCCACTGTGTCACGACCGAAACTCGCCCCTAAGGGTTTAGCATTGTAACCGGCCAGTAATCCGTAATTACCAAAGGCCTGCTTAACAGTAATGACAGTAATACAGAGTAAGGGGCTGGCGAAAGCCAAACTGTAAATAAAAGATATCCAATGAGCTGTGACAGTCTAAATGCCAAAAAGACTTTTCTGAACATATTCACATTCCAAAACCAAAACAATATATACATACATCATATACAAACATTCAGGTTAGGGACCAAATCCCTACCATAACAGTACAGTGCAAGTCTTAAATAGTACACAAAACGGAGACAGAAGGGTGAGCTGAAACACCCCAAAAAGCCTTAGCTTGAACAGACTCAGAAACCTCGAAGGTGAGTGCACAAAGTTGGCTTTTGACAAAAGGAGTTAACCCGACGCATCTAACCCGGTCCAGTGCCGGACACCCAATATATAAATATAATCAGTCGAGCTGAAAACCTCACGTGAATAACATATGCTGCAAAGGGGGTTAAGAATGCAAGTCCTTTCAGTATTCAAACATCATCAATCACTGTAGAGAACCATAGCAGTTATTTGTGTACATTCCAATAGCAAAAACAGTACACGTAGGTCTTAGCAGACCCGAATGCAGTCAATATGATGGCATCATAAACAGTAAAACAGTAAGTGGTTCCAACATTGGACGACAGGATCTCTGTAACAGTAGCAGTAACAGTACAGTAACAGTAATTTGCTATGGATGCCACGAATACAGTTCACAAATAGGACAAACATTCATTTAGTAAGAAATAATTTTTTCAAAAAGTAGTACAGTTGATCATGTTAGAAATATTCATGATTGAAATATTTTTACAACATTGTTACTCACAGAAGCAACGTTAGGTATAAGCAGCTAATGAGCGTCCCTCCGGATGCCAACCCTACACAGTTACAGAACGAACACACACTAAGTACACACTTGGGAATCAACAACTTAGTCCTATTCTTGACTCGGTGTGGTTCTACATCATGTCTTTCATAAGATGCCTTAAACAAGGGTTCGCTCGAGCGTGGCTTTCTAACGCTCGAGCGGGACATGCAGACAAAGGATCTCCGCTCGAGCGCGGACTTCCTTCACTCGAGCGGACTGCAAACATCATGAAAAGTACTGGATGCATGCAATTCAGCACTCCACGGAGCTCGAGCCTCCACTCGAGGCGTGAGACTCAAGGCCTCGCTTGAGCGTAAACTCTCTCGCTCGAGCGACTGTAAAAACATGGAACTTCTGGGCATATGCATTTCACGCATCGAGCGTGACTTTCCACGCTCGAGCGGAGATTCCGACTTAGAGTTACGCTCGAGCAAGTGAATTCG